AGTGGTCTGTTCGAGAGGCGGGAGTATAAAGTTTTGTCCTGCCACAGTTCAGTCGCCATGATGCGTTGGAACAGTGAGGAGCATGCTTTTGCCGTTGAGGCCTACTTTTCGAGCGGATTTGGAGTGGCCGACCCACTCTCCAGATTTGGCCCCTTGTGATTTTTTTCTATAGGCTTTTTTGAAATCCCATGTTTATGTGAACCGTCCAAGGACCCTACAAGACATGTAGACCGACATCCAGGAAGGAATTGCCAACATAACACCTGCTATGCTGGCAAGAGTCATGACAAACGCCAGAAATCGATTTACTCAGTGTATGGAGAAAGTAGAATGGGGGACGTCACCTACCTAATTTGATCTTCAAAACTATGTAAAACAAAACTTTAGGTATGCGCCTACATTACAAAAAAAATAAAAATTTCGGATTTATACAATGGATTTTATTAAGTTTTGAAAAAAGGGAGTTATGCTGCCTCACCCTGTATATTATAATTATATACTTTATATTACATGTAATATTACTAATAATATTACAATATAATTGTATAGTACAATATAGTAATATATAATACTGATATTGTATTATGCTAACAATATAATATATATTGTGTGTGTGTGTGTGTGTGTGTGTATATCTTGTAAGCTGCTCTGAGTCCCCTTCATTTATTAATGAGACAATTTATTAATGAGTCACGCTGAAAATGGAAAGATAAGACATACATGATAATCAAATGCTAATGTGTGTAATCCCATATTTATTAGTTTTGGACAATCTGGTGAAGTATTGTGCCCAGTTCTGGGCAATATAATTCCAAAGAATCTTGACAAGCTGAAACATGTTCAGAGAATGGTGACCAAAATAGTAAAAGATCTGGAAGCAATGTCCTATAAGAAGCAGTTTAGGAAGTTGAGGAGGTTTAGCTTGGAGATAAGTAGGTTAAGAAGGTTTATGTGAAAGGTTAAAGATGGAACAAGTTTGTTTTCTGATGCCCCAGAGACTCGGACAAAGAGCAATAGATTCAAACTACAGGGGGGAAAATGATTCCCCCTAAAAATTAGGAAGAACTTTCTGGTTCCAAGAGCTGAATGATAATGGAATATGCTTCCTCGGAGTGTGGTAGTCTTTTCTCTGGGAGATTTTAAACAGAGGTTGAATGGCGCTCTGCCAGGAGCACTTTGATTCTGCATTCCTACATGGAAGAATTGGGTTGTATTGGATGTCTTTGTGATCTTTTCCAACTTCATGATTCTATAATTCCATGATTATATTTATATTACACCATCATTGTAGATAGTGCTTTATAAGTAAAAGGAACAACAAAATAGACTAACAATTTCATAGTAAGCCTATAAGAGTTGTCATGTGTTTCATGTCCATCTGCTCACTTATCAATTTGTAGGTTGAGCAGTTATTATGAGTAGGCAGGAATGTGCACTCATGTGCAGGAATTAAAAGATTCACCGACATGAATCACAAAGTAGCAGTGTTACCCAATAGAGTCCAAAAATGTTTTTTAAATAAATCATTTAGTAACTGTCAGATCGCTCAATTCAGTTTTCCGTAAACCCTGCCCCCCCCCCCCACAAGGAAAAACATCTGGATAGTTCACAGCTTCTTCAACACTTTTAGTGGACACAAGCCATCTATTCAACTGACCAGGTGATTTGTGGCAGGTCATCAAAAACATCAATTAGCATCCATTGTTAGTGACTATGCCAACGCTAATTGGAGCTTTGAATTATAGGATAACCATACTTATAAGAGTACTTAGTTCAATGTGATTGCACCTCAGCCAAGGATAAAGGGATGGTGGTGTAGGAGCATTAACCCATCCTCTGAAAGGACACTGCAGACAGCAAGGAGAGAGGAAATGAGCAAATTGTAGATGTGCTTATGAGATGTGATATATTTGCCATTTTGTAAAAATATCAGTCAAACATTTATCTTGCTCTTGATATGTAGATATGATGCTTTGTCTAAACTGTCATGAGTCACAATGTAATTACATGGTAATCAAACAGCAATTAATTTGTACGATATTCATTTGAAAGAGAAAGAAATCAGCCTTGAAAGAGCATGGAAGATTAGCAAGAATACCAGAATAAGAAAGAGAAATTAAGATGCTGGAACAAAAATAAAAAATATATAGTAAAACTGATGTTTAAGCAAATAAGCTCAAGCTTCGGAAGGGAAATGCTGAATTAAAGCAGTTATTTATATGTATTTCTAGGTTACATTTTGGATGGCTTACCAACTTCAGTTTCATACTTTATTCCATTTCTCCCATCATATAATTTGTAACTCACGGATGTTAAAGTGTTCTGGTTCCACTTTAATGAGTATGACAACACCCCATGAGTTCTTTGAACAGGTAGTTAAGGGACAGAAGTTTAGAATCGTCAGCCAGAAAATTCCTTACATCAGTTGTGGAACCCAGTGCAGCATAGAGGTTTGTGTTACAGTAACTTGTAGCAGGACGAAGTGTGTGTGTGTTTGTGTGTGTTGAAGAAAAACCTTATGATCAGGCATGTAGCCGGGGGGGGGGGGGGGGGGGTTGAGGGGCTTCAGCCCCCCCCCCCCGAAATTCTCATGGTGGTTCGCGAAAAGGCCTTACTGGTGCATTATTTAAACTGTTATGTTCATTCATATCATGATCTGATCACCATACTCAATATATCCCATATGCATGGGGGTATTGGGGTAACGATACAAAAGGTTTGCTAGGCTAGACCCTCTTTCACTCAGACTCAGCCCCCCCCCCCGAAACTCAGCCCCCCGAACCCCCCTGAAAAAAATTCACACCCCCCGAAATGAAATCCTGGCTACGGGCCTGCTTATGATGGTAATTATTATGTGCAGCTGGTAATGTAGGTCAACCAGCAATCTTGGACCACACCCGATAGAGTATAACTGTATGAGTTTTTAGAATACAGTTCTGGAAAGCTTTTTCTCTGAGGAGATCTATGCTCAAAGGCCCTGCACTGAGGAGCAAGTTGGAGAGAAGCCATTATGCTGCTCTAAAGGAGACTATGGTGGAATAGCTGTTTGCTCAAGGTTTATGTTTTGCTTTCTCATTTGACTTAAGATGAAGATGCCTTATTTTGTGTTACTTACAAAGACTATGTAAGTTTCTTGCACTGTTTGTTTTTTGTATGCAACATTGCAAGTTTGTAATTCATCTCTGCTATTAAGAGTAATTTTTTTTGTTCATTTCTACTCTTGTCTGTGAGTCTTGTACATGGGACATGGCTAAGATCCGCTTGCTGCGCAACAGTTTGAGTGTTGGGAGACCAGTACTTCAATCCACACTTGAGTATGAAAATGCACTGGGTGACCTTGGACAAGTCAAACTCTTTCAGCCTCAGAAGAAGGCAGACACTCTCTGAACAGACACTCTCTGTCAAGAAAAGCCCGTGATAAGATTACCTTAGAGTTAGTATAGGTTGGAAATTATTTAAAGGCACTCAACAACAATTATGCTTCTTTTTAATCCTATAAAAGTCTCAGTGGTGGAAGCTATGGGATTTCATGTATACTCAACAGATTAGCATTCTGAGAGGAGCTCTTATATCACTTCAATTATTCCTGTTCCCAGTAGCCTTTTCTCACTTTCCTTGCCAGCTACTTCAGTGTATACACCCATCTATACAGCTAGAAATATTAGCACCCCTCCCTAAAAAATTGCTAAAATCCTGTTGCTGCCACCAAAAAATAGCCCATGTGAAGAGGTCCTTGATCTCTACTGTTTCTACCATGTCACCACTTTTGGCCTCTTAAAATGTCTGGGTAGAGAAATGGCAGTGGCTCCTTGGTGCATCCCCTCAAAACAGCACCTTTATGGATAAAAATAAATACTGTACCTTAAATTTTATCCAAAAGAGAGAGAAGAACAGTTCCCCTCTATAAGTAGAGAGACAAAAGGTCTTTTTGAATGCCTGGGTTGCCATGCATCAGGGACTTCATCAGACGGAGCTGGGGAAAGTGGGGGAATCATCTTTGTGCATGCAGAATCATCTTCTTTTGCATCATTAAAAAAAAAGTGATTGTATTTACCTCCATCACACAGAATCACCTCCTCCCACCACAACCATCTGCTTTAAAAAGATCCAAGGCATCATTCTTCAAACGGACACCACTTCTGGGCACATTGATTTTTCCCCTCAATTGTGTTATTCTAGAGGAGACCCAAGGCACCATTCTTAAGAACATCCATTCCTCCACATCACTGAAACTATTCACTAGTGAATCTGACAGATCCCCATCCCATCCCATGTGTTTTAAGTGCTTTTTCCATGAGCTCAGAAGACAATTTATCCTTGGCTTCAGTTTCCCCCATTTCTCCACACTTCTGACACAGTTCACTGATGAAGCATCATGGATGACAGCCAGAAGTCTGTCTGCAATATATGATGGGCTCTGCAGTACTTTGTCTATGAACCGTTCTAAAAGTGTGTGAAACCGGGGGGGGGGGGGAGAGGGCTTTCATGTGATGGAGTCCCTAGTGCTTTTCTCTCTCAATGGAATAATCCTTAACTTATCCACAAGTTATATCAAAATCCACAGGAGCATCTGGTGGCCGGCAGGACTGAAGACCAACAGTTCAGAGATTCAAATTCAGGGAGAGTGTTAATGAGCTCCCTCTATCAGCTCCAGCTCTCTATGTGGGGACATGAGAGAAGCCTCCCACAAGGATGGTAAAACATCAAAAACATCTGGGCATCCCCTGGGCAATGTCCTTGCAGATGGTCAATTCTCTCACACCAGAAGTGACTTGCAGTTTATTTTTCCCCCCAATACAAATCTACAACCTTTATTACAAGAGGCAGATGGACACAATGGCGAGGCCGACCCGCTTCCAGGGGGCAGAGCTGTATATAAAGCTATAAGCCAAGAAAAGGCTCTTGCCACCATTCCAGGTGGTAAACAGCCAAGGTGCTCTCATTCTCCTCTCCATTCCTCCCCGACCATCGGTGCCAGTAGAACATTGAGGACTGGGTAGGCTCAGGCAATGAAGGGTGTCACCAAAGCCATGGCCACTATGAACAGACAGCTCAAGTTGCCCCAGATCCAGAAGATTATGATGGAATTTGAGAAGCAGTCAGAGATCATGGACATGAAGGAGGAGATGATGAATGATGCCATTGATGATGCCATGGGAGATGAGGAAGATGAAGAGGAAAGTGATGCTGTTGTATCCCAGGTGCTAGATGAGCTAGGCTTGACGTTGACTGATGAATTATTGAATCTGCCTTCAACTGCCGGTTCTCTGAGTGTGGCAGGAGCAAAGAAAGCCGAGAGCCAGGCAGCTCTTGCCGATGCTAATGCAGATTTGGAGGAGCAGCTAAAGAACCTGCGGCGGGACTAAAAGCGAAGAAACCAAGCTCTCCCCTCTCCAGCGTGGTCTGGGCCTAAAGAACCTCCTGACTTTAGGACAACCTCTTCCGTGTCAAAGGGGTAGAGTTGTGCACACTTGTGGGGAGTCGCTGTGGGCAGAATGAGGGGTTTGTTTAAATGGAACTGTGTACTGCTTTAACTCCTCCTTTTCCTTTTATAAGGACTTTTGGCATCACCCGGTGAGGTTGTCGGGGGTAAGGGTTTTTCTTTTCTTCATTTCCTGTTCCTTGTAAATGGCTCCTTTCCACAAACTTGAGTGGTTTGGAGATTCGTCTAAGTTCTCTTCTAAATGGAGGATGACATAATCTATTGTAGTTTCTCAAGTCACTCCTGACACAAAAAAAAAATCCACAATTGTGGCCCCCAAAATCTATCTTTGATTTATATATAAGGTCAATATATACATGAGCATATATGATATGTCAGTCACAAACTTCACTAAAGGACTCACTTTTCTTTATTCCCCAAACAATTTAGAATCCCAGCATCCCAAAAAGAAAATAAGAAGCCAAAATAAAAAGGGGTACAACCAGGCTTTCTTAAATTGCAAAGCATTCTTAACAACAAGAAGTAAACAACAACAAAAAGGAAAATAATTTGACAGAGTTGTACATTAACATGTTATACATTGAGATTATGCATGGTGAATTATTCTATGTATTGTTCCCCCTTTTAAAAAGTCACCCTAATTAATGGCTTTAGTTAATCTCATTCTTATTCATACAGCAGGCTGTATTTATTTTGCAAAGAAAATGTTTAACTGGGGATAGCCTATTGAGGTCTTCCTTGCTCACATTCATCTGCCGTTTGGGGATATAGCAGTGTAGCAATAATTTAATACATGCACTCTGTACAGCAACTCTGATGAAAAGGGGAATAAAATTATACAATTATTGCATTAATTATACATTTTACATTTTTGTTCAATGGCCCTTAGCACTTCGCAGTACGACTGGGTCACCTGGAGAGAATTGCCATGAAAGTTTCATCTCATTAGCATTGAGAATGGCACACCTTGGACACAGCAAACAGTTGGGAAATGCAAGGCTAATTAATATATGAGATATTTCACCTAAGCAGAGAAACTGAGGAGTGACGTGAGCTAGAAGTTGATATGGCCTCTCCGCCTTCTCCATTCTTCTTCTGCCTTAATATTCTCTCCTCTCACTTAATATTCTTTTCGCTCACGTTATCAGAAGCTCAAGTGACCCAGGGGGATGTTTTTGCTAACAGTGTTAGCTATTTTGGAATTACAAGGGAGGGCTCAAAAATGTCCTTTTTCAAAAACAAACTGGTTGTAACCCTATTCAATTTAAACTGGGATCTCAAATTAGCTTAGTAGGAGTTATCTTAGAAAATTATCTAAATGTCATGCTCTAAAAATGTACCTTCCAGAAACAACTAAGACTGAAGAAAGCAGAGTAGCAATGGACCCAAGTATCCAAACCAGAGGGAGCTATATTTAAATTATTTTCAACTCTGCTTAGCAAATCTTAGCTTCCTTTGCATAATATATCCTTATGATAAGACAGAGGGAGTCCTCGTGATCTAATGGTTTGGTTTTGGACTGGGACTTCAGAAGACCAAGATTCAAATGCTTGCTCAGCCATAAAAACCCACTTGATGACCTTGGGTTAGTCATACACCTAGCCATAAACAACCGCTGCCACAAACCTCCTCTAAATATAACTTTTCAATAAAATCCTATTATAGTTTAATGAGAAGTCAACATTGACTTTAGGACACATAACAATAAAGTAACTCATGGTTTAAGGAGTGTTTTCTTATGTTAGACCTAGCCACCAAACATCACCAAGAAGTATGGAAAACAAATTAATGATTAACAAACAGGAAATATTCAATATGTATTGCCAAAGGCTTTCATGGCCAGAATCACTGGGTTGTTGTAGGGTTGTTTTTTTTTGGGGGGGGGCTATATGGCCATGTTCTAGGACATGGCCATATAGCCCAAAAAGCCTACAACAACCCAATGTTCAATATGAGCCTGGAACCCCAGGTCTCTGCAGTGACCAGGGGAGCTTTAGCACAGTTAAAGCTTGTGCGCCAGCTGCGCCTGTACCTTGGGAAGTCTGATTTGGCCATGGTGGTTCATGCTCTAGTTACATCCCGAATAGATTACTGCAATGCACTCTACGTGGGGTTGCCTTTGAAGACTGTTCGGAGATTTCAACTAGTCCAACGGGCAGCAGCCAGATTACTCACCAGAGTGCCATACAGGGAGCACCCCCCCCCCCCCGTTATGTCAGCTCCACTGGCTGCCGGTCCACCTCCGAGCACAATTCAAAGTGCTGGGTCTTGGCCTATAAAACCCATACGGCTTCGGCCCAGCTTACTTGTCCAAACGTATCTCCCCCTATGTTCCACCTCATAATTTAAGATCTACTGGGGAGGCCCTTCTCTCAGTCCCACCGGCTTCGCAAATGTGTCTGGTGGGGACGAGGGACAGGGCCTTCTCAGTGGTGGCCCCGTTTGTGGAATTCACTCCCCAGTGAGATTAGATTGGCGTCCTCCCTCCTTTCTTTTAGGAAAAAAATTAAAATCGTGGTTTTTGAACCAGGCCTTTGGCTAGTGACCACAGCACTGAACCCGGACCACAGGACTGTTACGACAATTGGAAATGATCTCTGAGGATGTTTGCCACAGATGCAGGCAAAATGTCAGGAGATAATGCTTCTAGAACATGACCACACAGCCCAAAAAACCTACAACAACCTTATGATATACTGTCTCGATCTCCTTGAAAAGCAAATGTATATGAGGAATCAAATATGGACCCTTCAAATAGCGTGAAACTGCAGCTCCTACCAACCAAAAATGGAAAACAGCAACATCTGAAAGAGTCCAAATTAATCAAACAATGCAATAGGTGCCCTTTAATGATATGACAACCAGCTTTGCAAAAGTTGTAGGATACAAGTGTTTATTTTAATGAGGGGAAATATTGCAATTAGCTTGTAGAGAAAACCTTGCACTATTGTTTTGTTTTGTTTTTGCATCTTTCAGAGCTTCCTAAAGTGTCTCTATTTCATCTGTTTGACTACAGGCCAAAGTATTTTAACAGTTGCCACAACACGATTTATCTTAATCTTGCTTCTTATGCCCAAAACTGCTTTCACTGATGGCACATCATGGAAGCAGTTTTAATGGACTATATATTTTCCCACATCCATTATATCCGCTCCAGGCTTCATTTAAATATGACAACAAAAAAACTATTTGTACTTAAATAAATTATTCTTATACAGCAGGGGCAAGCCAATGTGAGAAACCAGACCCAGTTCAATTAGCACATTATGACAGTAATGAGAAAAATATTCTTCCATGTCCTCTTGTAAATCTAAAAGATAAGACTCCAGCAGGGAACGTAACTCTATCAATGCTAATTGCACATAATTATACACTGAAACAGCAGCATTTAACAATGATTTCCATGATATTCAAATTGTACATTTTTCTTCAATATGAAAAATTTGCAATGCCATTTTGTAAAGTGCATTGCATCTTTAGCACTGCAGAATGGGGCTCCAAGTTTTGGAAACAAGCAGTAAAAATACAGAAAGCACATGGCGATTCTGGGCTTCAAGAAATGACACAAGTTTGGGACAAAGTGTGAACTCTGTGAGTCCATCTGGCAAAGAATCACCTGACCTATCAAAGGGGGTAGATCAGGGGTCCTCTAAGTAAGGTCCGAGGGCCAGATCCTCTAAGTAAGGTCCAAGGTCATTTACCCAGCCCTCACTCAGGGTCAACCAAAGTCTTGAAAGCACACAACAACAACAACAACAACAACAACAACAACATTAACAATCCTATCTCATCAGCCAAAAGTAAACCTACACCTCTTGTTGAAATACTAATAAGTTTATATTTGTTAAAATTGTTCTTCATTGTAATTATTGTATTGTTTTTAAGTGGGTTTTTTTTGCACTACAAATAAGATATGTGCAGTGTGCATAGGAATTCATTCATTTTTTTTTTTCAAATTATAATCTGGCCCTCCAACAGTTTGAGGGACTGTAGCCTGGCCGTCTGTTTAAAAAGTTTGAGGACCCCTGGGGTAGATTGTAGATTCCAAAGCTCTTTCAATGAGCTTCTAGTCATGAACCACTAATGGGGTGTGAAAAGGAAAAAGGTTAGCCCTTACAATATATTTTCTTCACAGGTTCAACCATCTGATATTCCACGATTATCCACATTGTAATTCAATGGAGGAATTCTATAGTTAATTCAGTTCTCTGAAATGTGTCTACACACATGCATGTACATTCAAAAGATGGGATAGTCTGCATTCTCCCTATTATGGAACAGGCCATATTGAGGTTAACCCCAAAATGCAGGAGGGGAGCGGGGCTGCACAGAGTAGATTTGTCCCATTTGTGGGAAAGTAGGACTTCTAGCAGTACAGTGCTCTGGGAGAAAATGTTAGGAAGACCTATCTCACAATTGTTGTGATTATAATCTGGCCCTCCAACAGTTTGAGGGACAGTGACCTGGCCCTCTGTTCAAAAATTTTGAGAACCCCTGTCCTAGACTATAATACAATCTTCACCATCAAACATATCAGGAAGTAGTCCATTTATCAATCATAAAGTCATATTGTATTCCAACAACGCTATTAAAAACCTAAGTGGCAAAATATTACTGTTTTAATTAAATAATTTTAAATAATTTATACAAGCCGAAACATTCAGGAGAATAAAAAAATTCCTTAGGCTTGAAAACTACTATATTAATATTCACCATTGTTTTCCCCCCTGTAATTCATTGCATTAAGAATGTGTGCCTGCTTCATCTGATTTTATGCAAACCTGCTTATATTTGATTTAAAAAAATAAAATAAAATGAATATCTGTTTAGTACAAATGAATGCCAGGATTTAGCATTCAAAAGTGATGCACCTGAGGTATAATGGAGTTGAGTTACCCATGGGAAATATTTTTTACAATTCCTGCATCACAAATCTCTTTAACAGTTCCATTTAACAGAATTCTTTAGCAGTTCAAATGCACGTTTTGTTTAAAACTGTGGGTCACCGCCAAACATTTAATTGTTGTAAATGCATGTACAAAGTCCGATCTGATGTGTGTGAATTAATGCTAACTACTTTTTTATACTTACATTTAACAGATCAAATGTCAGATATGCGTGCTACAAATTTACATATTCAAGCACATTTATTTTGTCAGACAAAGGAATGTCAGTGTTTGTGCATATGTACTTCTGATCTTTTTCGTTGCCACATCTAAAAGGTACTACCCTCTAACTCATGCTGTTTTCCAAATAGTAC